GGCTATTTCCCTTCGCTTGAAATTCGGACAGAGGTAAGGTACTCACGGACTGAGCGGGTGGGAAAAGACGTGTGAAAGACATGCATCTGGGAGTAGTATTTGCCAGTTCATTACCAGAAACGTTGAATGTGATCAATAGTCTTGAAATGCATGTTGTGGCAGTCTGTGTGATATTCCGCAAAATTAGTTCAAATATGGTAGCGTTTTTCGTGGGGAATAAACTCGTTCGGATTGCATTCAGGAGCGAAATCATTTAAGATCGCATGTGGTGGCCCCGTGTAAATTGAAATCAGAACGGAACCGACGGAACAAACCTGGGACGATTCCCGTCCATCACAAAGATTTTAAATATACACATAAAGAAATTGATCAGACTTCTTTTCAGCCGAACGCTCATACAATGGGTGGATTTGAATTCCGAAAGCAAATAGGGCTGCAGCTCACACGCATCGAAGCGCACGTGACTGTTTGGCCTTGCTATCGATATTGAAAGTATTGATCGGACTTCATTCGAATTGATTACAAACGAATACAATAACGGCAGCCCGTGGATGTAACTTACCAAATCACCGTAGGCTTGTGCTACGCTGCATACCATCAACGGCCTCACTGTGTTTATCTGATGAGTCACCGTCCATGTAGACAAGGTGTGCTGCAATGAAAAAGCAGAAACAATAAAGCACTTTGTGAGAAGTGCAGTTCATCCATTCCGTCAACATCTTCGAAACATAACATTGTGCACTGAATGGGTGCTATCGGTGAATGAAGTGATTCCATTCCGCACAAAAGTGAGACATAATGAATGAAATGTTACAGCTCCATTCTTTAGATCTACGCGACGTGATACGTTGTCGAACAAGAAACACATCGTTTTAAGTTACTGATTCAACTCCATGTGTCCACTAGAATGCGGGCATCGTTCGTTTACAGTCAGAGTGTGCAGTGCTTGGAATACCCATCTCACTTCGTTTGTGTGCCAATTATTGGATCTGTTATTGATCCTGGCTCACAGAAGATTCCTACACAACTAAGGAAATAACACGAACTAGTTGAAGATCACGTTATTTTTTTATCTGCTACTCTAAACTACAAGTAACACTTTATCATTTTTGCGCTAAGAAGCAAACGTTCGTTAAGCTAATGGATCTTTGTCGGTCTCATCGTCTTCAGTGCTGTTCAATTTTATACTGTATAGGAAATATGGTTTATGGTTTATATAATCTGAGTTGTGTGTGCAATAAAATGGGTTGATATACAAAATGCGTTCACCAGTGACAAACAGTACCTAAAAACGCGATCGCAATCAACGCTTTCAACTATCATCAACTGTATCAAAAGTTGGGCAACTCAGCCGAACTGGAGCGTATAGTGTCTAAAATCTTATTTTTACTCAAGAGTTACTTGAGACGTTCAAAAATATGAATCGGGATAACCCAATTCGTAATTGTTGAATCAATGCATTGCAAAAATCCATTGTTGAGGAACTAATATCCACTTACACTGAATGAATCCCTCTTCCAATGATATGAAAACTCGCTGGAAAGGCATGGTAAATTGTTTGGATCCCGGCAGTTGATACTGTATACGCGTTCCGCCGGTAAAGATGCTGTGACACCGAGTACTGTGGACAAGGATAATAAATTCCCCGGAATTCACCCGATGGACGGAACGGAACAGTATTAGACAAGCGGATCGATATGTCGTGGTATAATTCGATAATCTAAACGGTTCCGAAATACACCGCAAACTAGAGAGGGAACAAACACCGAACAGAGTGTCGATCACTCACTTTTGATGTTTTGTGGTAACAGTCCTTCGAACATAGATCCGGAAAAGCATGATGTGATGTAGATAAGCATTTGTTTGTACCGTCGAGCCTGGTGCATTGCGCTCAGAGTCTGTACGAACACCTGCGCGCTTAATGCCTATGAATGCCAGTTGGAGAAACAATAAAAAGATCAACTGTTGATACAAATTGAAGACGCACGTTAAATAGCACGAGTTGAGTAAGCAGCGGTGGACAGAATGACTCACCTGGCTTTGGAAATAGAAACGTGTTGGTAAGCCATGGTCGGCCATGAAAATAAAGACGTTATCATTGGGGCCCCTGTGGAAAGAAAACCACTAGTTGAAATCATTCAAATATAATAAAGGTTACATTCGTCTCAATATACTCGTTATCTACTTCGAATGGTGTTTGTCTCAATATGCTTTTCATTCATCTCAGGTATGATCACCGATCATCACTTGCTTGCAATACGGACTGCGTGTACTGTGATACATCGCGTAGTACACGTCTCGATAGCTACTCGATAAACGAGCAGAAGTGTATGGAGGAAAGAACATAACCTTTTCTCTTTGAGACCTTCACCGTTCTAGAAATGAGCACTCTATCTTCAGCAACACTGTGGGATATTGGAAGGCGGCAAAAGTGGGCCACATGATTGGGGGTCGTCGACCGGTAACACCGCCTAAGCCAAAGAGGAACACGGTTCACGAGCGAAAACAAAATGAATCAGCTCGACCTATTTCCATCAACTCGCCCTAGTGTGAACCGATAACATTACGGAATCAACTGGAGTTCACAAATATCTAGCAATTGTGACGTATTAAGCATATATCATACTGTAGCTCTTACGATTCGAGCACCTTCTTTCCGGCTGCTTTCAATGCAGCATCGCCCTGCAACATTTTGATGAAGTTGCTCACTGTGACATCCTGAAGCGGAGAGAGAAAGAGGACAATGCAGGTCACTGATGAGCCAGAGAATATACCTGAAGGTCAATGTCACTGCACTCATGCAAGGTCGATGCGATAGGAATCCTGCGAGGACTCAAGTAATTTATTCAATGTTTAGTGAAAAATAATGATTCAACTGAATACAATTGTCCCAACCAGGTGAATTGGACATGAGCGCGTGTGTGAAACCAACCAACAATTCACGTCGTTCGTGACTTATGGACTTACCGCACCCTTGTAATCCACAACGACACCGGCANTCAATGGGAATTGCATTATAAGTTTCGACCATCAGAACATATGTGAAATAGTCCAAAGTGTGAGATACCATGTTTCTAAGCGGACAATCCGTCAAATTGAATATTTTATAGTAGTACCTTGAAACCGACCGGACTCTCGGGCAAACTTGACCTACCTATCGCTGTTACACTCATTTTAGTCGGAAAAACCTCTTCTTGGGTAGCCCTCATTCATATTCACGAGGATCTACTGTATGCTCACTGGAATCGGGGACCAAACCTCGTTAGTTGGAGTGACGTGATACTGAGACAGACGACAGAAGAGCTGAACAACACATCAACTTATTCAACTGACAAAATCATGCATTTCTATGTTCAATCACAGGTGCATTATCAATTTAGTGGAATTATAGTAAATGCTTCTAGACTCCCTACACTATACCCACTGATGCTATCAGACATCGAACCTCTATGGCTATGTCAATCATGATCTGAATATCTCCCATGGTTCATTCAAACAAACCATCCGTTTGCGTGCTCATTTTCTGCTCAATTGTACAGGACTCACTTTGGATCTCTGGCCACATCATCGACCATCATGGTGATTATGTTCTGCGGCGGAATTCCATTTTTACTCACCAATTGATACGCGTGAGCGACGTCAGACTAAACATGAAAAGAACAGAATGAAGAGTAAAATGCTGAACCCGAGGTATGTTTTCACAAAACTAAGAAAAAAGAAATCATTCTGGCATGTGGGGGCATTCGGGCCGTGACTGGGATTGTGCCAAAAATATATGTATCTCCCCAGGAATGAACTGGATTAGGAGAAATCCTAAACACAAAAAAAAACAGATAAAACGGGCCAAACTGACTCCGGATAACCGAATCTAAGGTCTCACCTGATGCCGGTAGTTGTCCCAACCGCTTGCTCCAGCCACAAGCACAGCCCAGTGTTTCGATTGGTTAGCGCATATCTGACTGGCATAGATTGCCAGAAGAGTGAGGAAGAACAAGCTGAGACACATTTCAGTTGTGCTTCTCCGTTTACCTGGTGCTCTGATATAAGTTGATTTCCACAGTGTTATCTTTGTATTTATATTGCTTTTTTTTGTTATCGCCATAGCAAACCAGGGAATTTTACGAGCAGGGCAAAGTTCACGTAAATTGACCATCAGGCGGATCGTTGTTTTTTCATCGCTGATGTTGATTTATGCAATTTTCAATCACAGATATTCGGTTTTTCAGCACAATATTTTTCGACTGTGTTGATGTGAGTTGATAGCTTGGTTAATTGAAGTGGTTCGATGGGAGGTGACAATATTTGTTCGGTGACCTGCTCATATACAGCCTGTTCATTGTGGACTTCAGAACACAGTAAATTTGTGAATTATTCTGGATACAAATAAGTTTGCACAAAGCGATCTAGGATGACCCGAAGATTGTAGTGATCAAAAGAGGGACGGATTACAAGTTACGAATAACGGTCGCAACTGAAGCACAGAATCGCACTAGCAATCGTAGACTGGTATCTCCCGTCACTGTGATGCAGGAAAAAGGCCACAGAAGAAACGGTTCATTTATTGATAGAAATCAGCAGGAGAAAATACTGTGTAAATAGAAACATCGTTTGTGAAACAGCTATGAACCAATGGCCGCCGTTGCTCTTGGAGTCACATGACATCCGTTTGAACGCGATAGCAATTGATTGATCGATGTCCAGAAACTGTAACACGTGGGTGCTTGGCTGGTATCATCTTGGAGCGCTGACTCATCACTTACATATGGAGAGGAAATAAATATGCTAGCCGATTCGCATGTCAGAAATCACCACAGCAGCTTGGAAGGAAATCATGTACACTGCACTACACTGCAGTCTCTCAGTAAATCGGTGAGAAGCAAGCGAATTTTCACACTTCAATGCATCTGATCCGCCACCGAGCAGTTATTATGAAATCCAGTTGAATATCAAGGCAGTTGATGAGAAATGCGTTTATGTGTGGTCGGCTTTTTCGGAGGTCACAGATGGTCATTGGGTGACTAGAATGTTATTCGTCGTGTATATGGCAAACGAAACGTGAACTGAAAAGCTAGGAAGCACTGGACGTAGTGGGTAGCACGCTTGCGTTCTGCCCATGAAGTCCCGGGTTCGATCCCCAGTGGGGTCGATGGATTCGCACTGCTGATGAGACCCAAACAGGTCGAAACAGCTGTCCAGTGCTTCCTAGCTTTTCAGTTCACGTTTCGTTTGCCATATACACGACGAATAACCTTCGAAATCAAATCAAATCCTCCATCACTCACTTGACTAGAATGTATTTAAAATGAGAACTAAACTGGTAGACCTCCAGTATCTTGGGGTTTTTCCCTCAACTCAGTGACTGGTTCACACTGAATATGTTGTCCTCAAATAGTGTATCAGTTTCATATTTCAAAAGTGTAAGAGCTGACACTTCTTGCTGTCAAGCAGCATGGATTTTGATCTCTGGAGAAGCCTCCATAAATGTGATTTTGAATAAGCGGTCCGATTGCATTGTCTCTTCACGATAAAAAGGATTGTGAACAGTATTTTTGTTACCGATAGTTACAAGTAGTTGACAGCTGATGATCCTCGGTGGTAATGTGAATAGAGAAACGAAAATCTGATTTGCACAATATATGCTGCATCATTTTGCATAATTTATGCATGTACCTGCTGCAGTCGAGGTGAGCATTTCTGCATAGTTAGAAAATTTAGCACGACCTCTGTTCCTCACCGCACACTCTTTGTTACCACAACGAAGCTTGAATAATGATACACCATTCATACTGTTCACCTAGTTTGAGGTGATAATTTCGCACCTTTTAGTGGATCCGCCTATTGGATAAGCTTGGTTTTGCAGCCTGAATTCGAAATGCACTTGTCAGCATGACAGTATCAGCCGGGTGTCGTGCGATCTACCAACTGAGTTTCCTGCGTGTCGTCCATGCCGTTAGAATTCAGGGTTTTCCCTCATTGTCTTGTTAGAAAAGACCAAACTGGGCTCGGTTATTGTAAGACACTGAATGGCGCATGTTGATTTTGATGTGTTCTCCGAGATGGAAGCGTCTCTGGTCGATAGATATTTCGTGACCACGCTAGGTAACATCGGCTGTAAAACTTTGAAGAAGCTCGAAGCACGCACCAACACCAACATCCGCACCCCGAGCTACAATCATTTCCTATTTTCAGTCCACACACAAAATCATTCCACTAGTTTCAAGAAGTTACTCATCAGATAGGCTAACCACCGCTCTGACTGACTTCGAATACCGTCCCACATTGCAATTGGTGCGGAACGAACTGGGATCAGTTTATCCACAGTCGTTTGGAACAACACTTCCCACTGAAAAGTTACGTCAAGCTAGATTGAGAAAATCTTATTATAGAAATCTATATCGAGCTTTTTGGGGAACCAATCCATCCTGTTAATAACACAATATTCTGGATTCTCAATTGATACGGGACGTAGATTGTCCTATGGAGACTTCAGTTTACTGTTCTGCACTAGTTCTCATGGTTTACTTAGACCGAACAAGGTGAGGGACTGATTTGGTGGTTTATCAGCAGCGCTGTATGCACAAAGGAATTTCTGGTTCTTTTTTTCAATGGCGAACAAAAATCGAACTCATGTGTTATTCAAACGCGGATCATGTCCCGGTATGTGATTTACATCGACCAAGATCAAATTTCTTGTTGCTATCTCCGAACATAATGAAATTCTGACTGGCCACATTTTGAATAAAATCAAACGAATTAGATTTAAAACCCGGATCCATTTTTGGATTCACATCGTGTCGAAGGTGCATATCCAGTAGTTGATACAGTGCTTCGTTTCGGCTGTATGTCGTGTGATCTACCAACTGAGTTTTCTGAGCGTCCTCAGCGACAGTAAAATTTCAGGGTTTTCACCCGTTAGCTTATCAAATCAGACTGAAATCTACTTCATTACTGTTAATCACTGAATGGCGCATGTTGATGTTCATGATATCTATGGTTTCTTTCACTGTGTGTTCATTGATTTGAATCCAAATATCGAGTGTTCATCAGATTAGTGTTCTTTTACTATCGGCAACCAGCTTGTACAGAAACGTTCTAAAAGCATTAAATAAAATCAGATGATTGTTTTGTTGGCTAATCGTTATGCGTTGATATCACTGTCGTCTCTGTTTCTCTCGTGATACTGTGCAATCTGATGCTTCCTGCTTCCATGGGGTGTCTCGTTTGCCTCAGCCAGATCACGCCTCCGACTCATGTAACCGTACTTCGGACTTAGTTTTCAAACTTTATAGTTTGAATATGGAAATGCACAACTTCCTATAAATTACACACCCCGGTTGTGTAATGGTACCAATTTTGCCTACTTTAGAAATGAATGTCTCTATTCTTGATGCAACTGTTTTGCTCCCGTACCTCATCCAAATCATAGGACCGCTTTTAATCACTTTTTCCTTGCTTCCTATAGCGTCTAACGACGAAAAGCGTCTAGTCCATTTCTCGGTCAATCAAACTTCCGGCTGATTGTAGTTGTATTTCTCTGACGGCCTTGTTTGAGTTCATTCCGTGCAAACGTATTATTGAATAATCGATTCGCCCCGATTGACATGTGTGATACAGGACGTGGCTCATTGAAGTTGTTCAGTTCATCAATCAGCACCGAAGGAGCAGAGAAGTTGTAGCGTGTCCGATTGCTTTAACGCAAAATCTCGTTATCCGGTACCGGTACGTTCTCTGTGCTACGGTACCTCAATACATGTATACAACTACCGCAATTTTTCTGGTTTAACCAACGGTAACTTGGTTGCTTACGTGCCCAGGGTCCCGTTCTGTATTGTGTCGTGGTCGGTCGTAGTCAATGTTCTTCAAGGTGTCCGCATGATAGAGTAGAATTAACTCATCCCTATATCCGGTACCCGTTGCCGAACCCATCGGATCTAATCGGTACTTGAGCTCACGCACTGGCGACTGAATGTGTGGATGATGCAACCAAGTGATCAAACGGNATGAAAAGAGGCCATGAAGACGGACCGTCTGAATACACATATCAGAGCGTTCCTCGAGAGCGGGGTATGACGTTCCCGTGATGGACAAATCTCTACACTGTTAAGTAGCAATGTTTTTACTGAAGAAGCATACATTCTAGCCTTAATAACAGCCGAATGCCGCAACCGTGACACTTATCCGTCAGGTAGTTTGATTTCATTCGAGCCTTCTATTTGCGTACCGAAACTTCATACGTGACGCGTCCTCCAGGTGAGCTTTAGGTGCCCAGATGGTGACATTTGTCGACTTTTCCTACTACTCTTGCAGTTAGAGTGAGGATG